GATTTTTCAAAATGAGTCAGAAGGCCCTCTAGGTAAACATAGCTTTCTTCCCAGACATCATCATTTACATGTTGAGACACAGAGACACCACCTGCTTGAAGAGAAGGAAGGAGAAACAAGGAGAAACAAAACACAAATAAACGTAGCAGAATAATAAATTATTTTTATATATGTATAAAAATATACACACACACTTCTATATGTATCTATCTCTATATATACTTTTCCATCATAGCAAAGTTTTAAAATTTATTAACATACAGTAATGTTAAAAGTGACATTTAATGAAAAATGATTTTTTCTCCCATATAATTAACTGCCATTTTTTCATTTTAAATTATGTTTATTTGTGTCTTCTATTTTGTTTGATTAATCACTCCAATGAGAGAGAGGTTTATCTACTTTTTTCAGGATCCAATTTTAAAAAATTAATCATCAATTCTATCGTCTTCTCATTAAGTTATGTTTCCACATTTATTAATACCATTTCCATGCTTTCCTTAGATTTCTTTTCTTTTTCTTCTAATTTCGTGAATCGCATGCTTCCTTAACTTATTTTGTTCTTTCTTTATTGGTAATGAAAGTGATGCTAAGTGATAGATTTTAATATCATCATTGTTATCATAGTTACCTGGTCACTTGACCAAGGGAGAATGTCCCACATGGCTTTCTTGTCAAAGAGAGAGAGAAAGCATTCTGACCTTGGGAAAGAGTTTTGTGTGTATTTTCTTCAATTGTCTTCCCAGGCCATGTCCTCTCTTTGTCATGGAGCTATTGCATGGGAGCAGCCTCACCTGTCACTCTGTGTGTCTCTCAGAGCACAGCCATCTCTCTGCTTCACCCTGAGAAGGCTCAGGTTGCTAGACTTTCTGTCTGCAACAATTGACATAGAGGCCACACCATTTGTCACAGATTCTTGTATCCTTCAGTCAGAAAATCCAGTCTTTGGAAGGGAAGCCATCAGTCCTGGACTTACTTGTATTAGTGGCTGAGCTGTGGCTGTAGGTAGATGCTGGGTGATGGCAGTGAGAGGTTCGGATGTGCATGTTCCTCCAGGACTAGAGAGGATCCACAGCACAGTCACTGCAGAGCCTCAGTGAACGCTCATCCCCAGCAAAGAAGCAAAGTTGGGGCCTGGCTTCACACTCAACCAGAATGGCAGCTGCACTGGGTACTGGGACTTGTCCTGATGGAGCCTGTGATTCCAGATGCTACATACCCTAAAAGCTGGCACTGATTATGGAAGAGATAAGGAGAGAAAGACTCACACCTTCAGGGAATTCTTCATTCAATGCAGAGGAGTTTCAGAGAGTCACATACTGAGGAAGAGACATTTGGGAGAAACTTAGAAGGTTCTGAGGGCATCTATAGGTCTCCAATGCCCAATTCAGACAGTCTTAGGACCTCCTGTGTTTTCTGTTGTGCCTGCAGTCACAGAGGCTCAGCACAGAAGTAACGCCATGTGGGGGCTTTCAGGTTCTGTTATCCTTTCCTGTTAGTATCTTCTGGTTCAGCTGCACATCCCATCCTGACTTTTGTCTCCATCATTGAGTTTTTCTACAGAATTCTTTCTGACCTGACCCCATGAATCAGTCTGTGATAATATGGGGCCACACATCAATCCCTTTTATTAAGATCTGCCAATAAAAGGGTGGGAGAGATAAAAGTCTCAAGGAGCTGTTGTTACAGACAGAGGTTTTAATGAACTGACACTCACACGATGCAGGAGATATTGACAAGTAAACTGCCAGTGTCCCACTTCACTTATATAGAGTCTCACCCAATGAATAATGGAAATAATCTATTTTCATTTCCTCTCTTTCCAGGCTTCCACACAGTCTTGAGGAGACAGAGAAAACTTTGCACATAGTTGGTGTTGTAGTAAAAGATAAGATGTTATAACCTCAGTTAATAATCATGGCTGTGTCAGGATAGACAGAAATGATCTTCAATTTCATCAGCACAAGAAGTAGCTGTAAAGAACATGATGTTCATAACCTTAGAGAGATGTGGACCAGATCTAGGGCAACAAATCAATCAAGGTTAGAGAAGGTTGTGCTGGGTTCTCTCCATCGGTCTGTTGCCAGTATTCAATCTGGGAGAATATCTGTCTGTGTGACTGACATATATATCTGAACAGATGACACATGTTCTACTGTTTCAAAGTTTTTCTCCCTTCTTTCTCCCTTTCTCTCTACCTTCTTCCACCCTGCCCATCCTTTATTCCTGATACATATGTACAAGATAACGTGCCAGTGATATTATAAATTGAAAATACTTGGCTTAAATCTAAAGCCAGGAATATTCAGAATGCAGTTTACTCTCCATAATGTACTAGATGTGTGATCATGGAGAAAATCATGTCTGTTTTATGGGCCTCCATTTTTTACCTATATAAATTTATTGTGTTATACTGTGCTAGAATATGAGTTAAGTCCTTGAAAGACATTTTCTTGTTTGATCATTAGAACAGCTTATGAAAAGATTATTATTATTATTATTATTATCCCACTATACAGATGATAAAACTGAGGTTTAAAATGTTTATTAACTTTTTTACTATAATTCAGTTGATGACAGATTTGAGAGCTGGACAAACGTCCATCCAGTCCATAACCCTACTCTCTTAGATGACTTATTATATTGCTTTAATTAATGGGGATGATTTCTACTCTCCTTGTTTTGGTTATAATTGAATTACATATATGCCAATAATCTTGCATAATACATGCTGCACAGTAAATATACAACTAGAGAAGGACCAAGAAAAAAAGTTGAACGGGTTGGCCTGGTGGCACAGTGGTTAAGTTCATGCTCTCTGCTTCGGTGAGCCAGGGTTCATGGGTTTAGCTCCTGGGCATGGACCTACACATCAAGCCATGCTGTGGTCTTGTCCCACATACAAAATAGGGGAAGATTGGCACAGATGTTAGCTCAGTTACAATCTTCCTCAAGCAAAAATAGGAAGATTGGCAATGGCAACAGATGTTAGTTCAGGGCCAATCTTCTTCACTGAAATTTAAAAAAAGTAAAAAAAAAATGTTGAAGAGGGTAGGGAGGACAAGAAAGTAGGCAATGATTTGAGCTGGTCATGGTAAATATTCTCCATGAGATAGCGCTCATAGAATTGACTTTTTTTCCTTTTAAGCTTATACATGAAATCTATATTTTAAAAGCTAATATACTTTATTTTTTAGGATAGGGTTAGTCTTACAGAAAAATTGAGCAGAAAGTACAGAGAGTTCCCATATACTCCTCTATACCTACTCACAGAAAAACAATTGATTTTCACACTCTTACAGATCAAATAGAATACAGAAAAGCTGCTATTCTATCATGTTCCTTACCGTTTCTGCCAGTTGAATGAGATGTCAGCATGGTGTTATATTTTTATATGGGGCGCATTCAGCAAGAAGTAAAGAGAAGAGTGGGCACATCGCAATGAAGAAGGGCTATGTATTCCTCCCATGCACTCCAGTCTGTCCTTATGGGCTCCTGGGATGCTGGTCCCAGCTAATCTGTGGCCTAGCCTGAGTAGTGGTCTCTCCTCTCAGCCTTATTTGTTTCTGGGCTTGACCCACTCCATGACTTGAATATTCTTGTGCACATCCCTTCAAAGGCTAAAGGAAAGCACAGTGGCACAGCTCCTTGTAACAAATAGTGATGTCCCAGCTTGTGTGAAAATATATAGATTTATTGTAAGGTACCCTATAGTGATCTGTTGTAATTCATCACATGTGTAACAGCATTTATTTTGTGGCAGATAATCTTCACAACTGGTAATTTTTAAAAAAATAAAGGAAGAAAATTTTCCTGTACCTTCTCTGTGATCATTACTCTTACAGGAAGCTTCATAATCTCTTCCAGAATTGTGGAATCTGTTGTGAATAGAAGTGATCTTAGTTTAATGTTTGAGCACAAGACAGCAAGATAAGTTGTAAAAGGCATACATTTTTAGCTGGGTACCCGGAGCAGTAGAAGAAGAAAATACTCTAGTTTGCCTGAACTCAATACAGACTAGGGTTTCCTGTATTGCTGAGATTTCTCTTTTTTATGTAGGACATCGTGACCTGAGACACACCCAAGGAGGACATGAGGTTATTGATTTGAGACCTTTTTCTTTCTGTGATGTAAACATTTACTCTTACAAATTTCCTTCAAAGCATTGCTTTCTGTGCTTTCTGTTGTTTAGTGGAGTGTTCTATAAATAGCAATAAGTTCATATTGGTTGATAGTGCTGTGGATGTCTGCTGTGTTCTTGCTGATTTCTAACTACTTATTCTATTTCTTACCGAGCACAAGGGTTAAGTCTCCAAATGTAATCACAGATCTGTCTATTTTTCCTTTCAGTTTTAACAGTTTTATCTTCAAGTATTTTGAAGCTCTGTTGTTAAGTACATACACATTAACATTGTTATGTCTTCTTAGCAAATCGACCCTTTTATAATTATGTAATATCACTCTTTATTTTTGTAATATTTGTTTTTCTGGTCTAATTTGTCTGACGTTAATACAGCGTTTGCAGATTAGTATTTGCATGGATATCTCATTCCATACTTTTACTTTTAATCTATGTCATTATATTTAAAGTGGGTGTCAGAGTAATTCATTTGAGAGATGAGAGTGGCTTGATCAAAGAAGTAACAGTGGAGATAGTGGCAGTGGTTAGATTATGGGTTAATTTCTAACATAGGGTCAAGTGGAATTCACGACAGATTAGATGTGTTGACCTTTAACAAATAGACAGACAGTTATTTATTTCTCCATCAAAAATGGGTTTATTCAGGATCAGGAAAAAATTGCAATTCATGGTCTGCAACCATGGTGAGCCACGTGCAAGTCCCTCAGCAGCAAGGGAGGACAAACTCTTTATAGAGAGGAAGAGGAAGGTGGGAGGGCTATTGTAAACAAAGAGTCCACTGAAGTGGCTTTCATTGGCTGAGTCGTGACAGCATCTCATTGGCTGAGCTTCTTGCTGGTCAAGAAGAGGAAGTCTTTCTTCTTCCTGTTGGGCTCTGCTATTGACATAGCATTTGAGAGCTCCTCCTTTTGGCCTCTCAAGTCCAATTTAATGAAGTTTCTATTCATTTATTTGACAGATGTAAGCAGTGAGAGAAAAAGAAGAGTCAAAGACAACTGAGGTTATGACCAGAGATACTGAAAGAATGGAAGTGCTATCAATGGAAAAGAAAAAGGTAGGGGGAAGGGCATGTTGGAGGTGAGTTCAGAAGGTGAAACATCAGAAGTCAGTATGGGTCACATTAAATTAGAATCCTGAACCTCTAGAATGCAGTATCTCCAAGCAGAAGACGAATATCCATACATGTTTCTCTGTTCTAGGTCTTGTTTAACATGTCCCAGTGGTAAAGGAAGGAATACTTTGAAGTTCCTTTTTATCCTCAAGAGACAAGAACTCTCCAGGGCTCTGCTCCCCATCCTGCTCACTTTCATCCAACGAGAGACCTTGATAAAAACAGGTCAGGCTGTATCCTTGAGTCTCTGAAAACTCCAGTGTCTCATGAGGTTTGTGTTCAGCTCCCCCTGCAGTCTCAGCCACTGTGTCTCTCAGAGCACAGAAGTACACAGCTGAGTCCCCCAAATGGGCTGATTGTTTCCTCAGGTGGAAGGAAGTTTCATTCTTCTTAAGTTCAGCCTCAAAACCTTTGATGCCTTTAACCAAGGTGGGCCCTGAAAAGTACCCGAGGAGAAGCTGGAGGCCTTGGCTGGGGTACTGGATGTACCAGAAGAGAGTAGGAGTTCCAGTATAGGAATAGCTGCACTTCAGCTCCAGAGGGGCTCCTTCAGAGACAATGATGTGGTCGTCAGGCTGGGTCACTGACTGGGCTCTGGTTCCTCCTGAAACATCAATGCTGAGTGAGTGAGACCAGGACAGACAGACCTACCTGTAATGAGATACCATCTCTATTCAGATTCCATTTGGAACAATGTTCCTTCTATGGAGGCAGGAGCATGGAATACAGTGTTACTTACTCACTGTGAAGAGCATTCCAAGCAGCAGAATGGTCGCTGAGAACATGGCCAGGCAGTGAGGAAGCTGAGAGTTATATTCTGGAAGATCTTCCCCGAGGAGCAGGAAGGAATGTGCCAGAGTATGCCCAGTCTTCTAATTGGGAAAATGTGAAAATGTGAGATTCAAGAGATCTCTGTTTAGGAGAGTTCTACAGACTATTAGTGAGAGATGCTTCCTTGACAGTGATTGCTCCTGGTGTTGATTCTACTCAGAATGTGCCCCTCAGTGAGCCGTGAGGTGAAGGAGCTTGTAGGAGTGAGGTAGGACTTTAATAGGTGAGACGTTTGCAGTTTCTGCAACATCGCCCTCTTGAGGTCAAATATAGAAACAAATTGAATCTTAAGGTTTTTTGTCCTATCTCCTTCCTTCTCCTATCTAGGCTT